GGATGCGGGAGAACTTCCCATTCAAGCTCTAGAAGTGCCTGCTTCACGCTTTTCGCGACATGCCGTCGAGTGTTATCATGCAACAAAATGACTTTGCGTCAATTGTTGGCTACGAATGATCTTTTTTGCATCAATTCGTCATTTAATCGGTATAAGTAATTACTGTTTGTAGCGATCAGCTGTAACGGTGTCATTTTGACACAAGAGTTCATAATACAGCACACCTTCCCGGTCCCACCAAACGCACAGCAAGGTCTTATGTCCGTGAACATTCCTCTTCGGCGTTGAAGCAGATGGTAGGCCGGGATCCACCCATGATTTTTTCCGCTTGTAATTATCAAAATAAATCCATTTTTCATCGCCAGTCGCGATGCGCCACAAAAAACTCTTTTCTTTACCTGGTAAGCAAAAAAGTCGCAATAGTCAAACGATTCGAAATGGCACTTTCTGACAACTCATGTGGTAGCCATCTCCCTTCCTTATGGATCTTACCCATGGCATGCAAGCGTTTTGAGACGGCCTTTGGAGTAACATTTAACTGTTTCGATAACTCTAAAAACGTTTGAGTTGGATTCTCATCAAGCAATTCTTGCAGCTCGACATCTTCAAATTTTTTCGGCTGTCTTGGACGTTCTTTGTCTCTCGCATCAAGATCACCGTTTCGGAAGCGTTCAAACCACACTCTACATATTTTTTTCGATGGAGTTTCGTCACCATACACTTCGGATAATAATCGATGCGCTTCAGCTGCGGTTTTCTTGAGGTCGAAGTAGTGAAGAAACACACGTCGGAAAAACTGCTTATCGTGATTCATTTTCAATCGATTGGAAAATCTCTTTGGCGTCGAGCAATCTAACCTGTGAGGATTGAATCACTTTCAGCGATGTTTAAACTACAAAAGACATGACTTCATCGTCGAAACTCGCCAGCGTTGGAGCCAGCACCCTCTGGCAGCGAGCGATAGGAATTAAGTTTAACACCTAATATATTGTTGCGTCCGTGCGGCCAACTTGTGCCCGTGCGGCCGTCCCGCGAGGCCACTCCCGCGGACGTGTTCACGCACTCCCGAACCGTCGAAATGAAACACGATTGCAATTAAAACATGAACAAGGAACGTTTATTGATTAAAGCAAGGAACGCAGAATGCGATATGTATCAGAGCAAATGTAAGACACGTCCGGATACGACGACGGCTCATATCTCAGATCTTGTTTGACAGTCGAAGGGCAAGTTGCTCCGCGAACGCTCTCACTTCTCTACAGCACGGGTGTCGACAAGGGGCACGAGCATAACCATATATATACCTGCATTCAGAATTTATTTTTATATTTTATTTTTATATTTAAGGCTCTCTCTCCTGAGTAGTCGCTGTGGCAACGTTGGATCATGCTGTCATAAGCAAGAAATGACACACGTTAAAGTTTCTTGCATGGTATTTGTAAATAAAGAGAATTTGAGTAAAACGAAATGAGATTGCTCCAAAACACTTGTAAATTTATAAATATAAAAATGGGCGAACTCTATCCTTATAGGGTTAATAAATAGTCGTAAAAGATACAGTCTGTAAAGTAAGATCGTGTACGGCATAAATGGCAGTTGGCTTCAAATATCGTTTTAGATTTTGGGTGAGTCGATAGATGGAACCTTTGTCGTGAATGCTTTGTCACAAAAGATTCAGTTAGTGTCGAATTCTTATCTAAGAAACGCGGTAACCGCTATGAGTACCGCATACGCATCGCGCTACGAGGCTGTATTCCTTTGTTCCCACCCGAAAGGACCAAAAATGTCATATGTAGCGGCTGCTAAATACATGCGAAAGTCAAAATCGTTCGTCGCTAAGTGGGTTCAGCAATATAAGAAGACAAAAAATGTCGATGATTTGCCAGAACGTGGCTCGATAGGCAAAGTGACGCCGAACATGGAAAAAAAATTGTGAATTTGTTTAAGCGGAACCCGACCTTAACATTGCGACAAGGAGCAGCAAAATTAAAACAGAAGGGCGTAGAAATATCACATACAACTATTCGAACCCACTTCCTTACGCATAACATCAAATATCGAAGCACAATGATGAAACCACTGTTAGGCGAAAAACATGTGATGAAAAGATTCGCTTGAGCAAAGGAGAATTTGGACCGAGATTGGAGCAACGTGATTTTTACGGACGAAGCTTCTGTTTGGGGATATATTACCATCCGACGTTCCTGGTCAACCTTGACCAATAGATTAATATAACGGACCGTTAAACATCCTGTAAAAGTTCATCTTTGGGGCTGCTTTTCAAAACAGGATTTTGGAGCATTACATCTGTTTACATACAATTTAAATGCTCCGAAAATGCTTAAAATTTATGAAAAGTATTTGTTGCCGACTGCTGAACGATATTTCATAAAAAAAAACAAGGACTGGATCTTACAGGAAGACAACGACCCAGAACACCGGAGCAAGCTTTGCACCGAGTGGAAAGAGCGGTCTGGCATCGTCACACTTGATTGGCCATCGCAATCGCCAGATGCAAATCCCATTGAAAATGTGTGGGCATATCTCAAGCACAAGCTTCGAGGAAAAAGAGTATGCACTTTGAAGCAGCTGACACGACAAATTCGTCTCATTTGGAGGTCTTTACCGAACGAATACGCAGTCAACTTAGTGGAAAGTATGCCTCGACGAGCATACTTGTCAGGCAATTATCAATGCCGGTGGTGACTGGATTCATTATTAATGGTATAGCATTTTTCTTTTCATGGAGTACAACAAATCTATGTACTTAAAAATCATTAAAAATAAATTTTTCTACACATTAACCTGTACACGTTCTTATTTTACAGACTGTACGTGAGGCAAAAGTTAGCATGTCATTTCTCACTTATGACATCACAATCCACCACTGCTACGGCGACTACTCAGGGAATCTCAAAACAATTTAACCTTGAGAAATGCTATCATGTCTTTTACTTGAATCCATTCTAAATCATCAAGTTCGTACTTTCGGAGAGACTTCTCAGTTAACAATGTTTTCGTATGTCTATATATATTAATAAATATAGGGCGCAATAATTTCCTTAGATTAGGTCTATAACTTATTGTTAGTTAAAAAAAAACAACCAAACTCACAAGGCTAATAAGAGTCAGCGCGAACGGAGGTGCGCAATAAATCTTTCACAAGTAATTTTGTTAATCCATCCGTTGTGATGACCTCATCTTTATTCAAATCTTGAAAATTTGTACGTTTTGATTCTTTTTTGAATCTTTATCAGGAAACCTCTTGAACAATATTAGATTTCGCGAACGCTTAATGTAGAGTCACTCGCAAGTTGCCAAAACTGAAGTGTTATCTGTTTAAATTTATATGCGTGAGATATTGAAAAACAACCAATGATGTAAAACGAGTAACTCACCCACACAATCGCCAAATCTTATCATGAAACTTTGGATAATGTCTTTATTTTCACAATTAAACACATTCTGTAATACATTTTATATACTTCGTTTAAACGCCATCAAATCCATCAGGAGCGAAGAATGTGTCTGACAAAACTTTAGTAACGAAGGTCGGAACGACGGCAACAATAAGTTATAATAAAAATAAATTATCTAGACAGTACATTCTTATTGCGTTACTGATTTTAACCTATATGATCTGCCTAACATATTTAACATCTATCATATCGAGTCATGGATATAATACATATAAGAACAGAAAATCATTACAAAAGTTTAAAAAAAATTCAACACCAGAGTTAAAGCGTCAAAAACGTAGATCTAAAATATACAGTCAAGATTTAAAACGTGTCATCTTAACCTTATGCTTAAAATAGTATAGCAATTAATAATCAATCCCTATAAAATTTACACATACATACAATTAAATTCAGAAACTGATAAAAATGATATAATATTTATAAAGTATTTAAAGCCTTTTCAAGTCAATAACACCAGTTGTAAACGTGTGATAAAATCCTCTTTATTACAATGTACGTTTCGATCCTGTGAATCGGATCCTTCTCAACATTCTTTACG